AAAAAAAAAAAAAAAAAAAAAAAAAACAACAACAACAAAGTAATTTGTCACAATAGTTTTATAAAAACTATACATATACTCACAAGCATTTTGAAGCAATTCCAATCACGAACAAGAGGTTGCCCATCAGACGGAACAGAATTCATTGACACTTCTGTGGCAATTTTATCTCCAAATAAAACCGTTGTGATACGATTTATGCTTCTATCAATGCGGTTTCTATGAGAAAGTTCACCATTTAACTTGTTCCGAGCTTCAATCCTTTCCTGAGTGCCTTCAGGAGATTTGTGGAGCTACAAACAATTAAAAACACAACTTTAACAAATCCTTCTTTTTATTCAGTTCGAACTGCAGAAAAAAGGAAGAAACTTATTCTCATAATTGAAAATAGACCTTATGCGAGAAATGAAGGAGAGCTGCATCACGTTGCCTGATGGCTCTTGAAGGTAATGGTGAACTTGGGGACTCAGAAGAAAGCACAAAGCCATCATTTACTGGGTCGGTTCCGAGGTATGAGAACAGAAAATCTGTCTGAAGCTTCAAATTTCCATATTGCATGACATGGGAACTCTGCTCTAAATTATCTGCTGCTGTCCTCCTCCTAACCTGCACATACAATAACATAATGGTTCATTGATCCATTCGTACAATCCAAGGTTAATTCTTCAAACTTAATTAACTTCTCATGTTTTAACCTAATCAAAATTACTCAAGTTGAGTTCATACCAGTTTATATTGTTGCTCTAGTGTCTCCTGGCTTAGATCATGTATGTCACTGTAATGTAACATAGACAAAAAATATCAGTAACTATGATTATCAGTGTAAATTAAAATTAATTAAAAAGGCCAATCAAAGGGTATGTACAACCTATCCTCTAGCCAAGAAATACTAAAAGTGTCTCCCAAACAAGTATCATATTCTGAGGGAGGACTGGGATAATATCCAGGACAGTATGCTCCCCAGCTGCTCTCCTCAGCATTCGACGCTGTAACTGCATAAATGTTCAAGTTGTCAGGAAGAAGCCCTTCAAACATGCTTCCAGACTCACAAGCTTCGACATAGATAGCCTGAAATTAAGTTCAATGTCAAGTAATTGAGAATTAATCTCAATTGCAAAAAACAGAAGACAATTTCAAATTACCCTCACCATGTTTTTGAAACTGTTGGCATCATGCTTCTTCTTCAGCACTTCTATGAGATCTTTAGCAACAATGTCTTCACCATTGGGCATTCCTAGACACATAAAATATATTGTTGTAATAAACAAACTTTACAACCTTCCTAAATGAGCTAAGAGGTTTAAATTAACTAACCGAGAAGTCCAGTACTGCCATGGTCGGCATAGTATATAAAGATATGATCATCTGGACCGCTATCCACAACCTTCCCACTCCCACCAGTAAGTCCTGTTTTGTTTCCAAGGATGGCAGCATAAAAGTTGCTTGAGGTCACATTTTCCCCAGTATAATCCTACAACAAGAAAATGTAAGAAATTATGTATATATTAATTAGGAACCTAGACTTAAAATGAAAATGTTAAAGAAAATTAAGCACCTTAGGAACTCCTCTGTAGACATCTTCACCATTTGGTTTATTGATTATGATCCCGTGTCTAGGGTTGTTTTGACTGTGTGCAATATCATCATACATAAAAACAATAATGTTATTGTCATCCAATCCTCCTTTCCTTAGGACTTGGTATGCATGACATACATCAGCCTGCGATTCATGCATAAAAACTTTATTAAGTCTTGTTTTGTCTGTACGACTAATCAGATTCAAGGTTTAAATACTATGTTATTCTAAAAAGAAAAAATGGAAAATTAAGAAAATGGCAGATGTAGTATGACCTGGTGTCTATAGTTTTCATAACCCTTGGATCCAGCAACCAAGATTGCCCATCTTTTGCCCAGAGTATAATCTCCATTTCCATCGAGCTGCCGACTTTCAATGGCCAAACATGGTAGTGAAAGACAAAGGATAGCTCCAAAGACAGACCAAATCATTGTGACCGACGATTGCTCTGTAAACATTAGATTTGTTATTCTCATAATTACTAGTATATATTTTTTTCCCTTAACAAAAGAGAATGATGCAACAAATTAATTCCATCTACATATCAAAATAGACTATGATTGGCAATGCCAAAAAGAAAAGAATGAATTGAGATTGAAAATTCCTCAGCTATTGATTGTGTGAGACTCACAGATAATCAACAGATAACAAAGATTCGACCTCAATTTCATCTTGCATTTTTCAACACTCAAGAAATTAATGTACTTGGTTGTCACCTTACTTGAAATTTAATGCTGCACCAAACTAATTAATTGAGATGTGTACATAACTACATATAAAAATCAAACTAAAGTAAACTGAATCAGTTTGCAATAATTTAAGAAATGGGGTAAGGGGGCTGAGATTAAAGTTGGATTGCCAATTATATATGTGCATTAATCAATATCCCCCACTCAATGATAGTCAATTATTCAACTTGTTAAAACCAACCTCTTAATTTGCTTAAAATTTATAAATGAAACAAAGAAAGAATAGCCTTCGAATTTCAGCCACCAAATCATAAAGAAAAGAAAAGAAAAATGTAGACATCAAGGAATGGCATGGAGAACATAGAGGAGGAAGAGAACACTTACTCTGAGAGAGTTTCAGGAAGGCAGAGGTTGGTAAGTAAGCTTGAAGATGTTGAGAAATGGCTTACGGGAAACCAGTTTTTATAAACTTAGAATTGGAAACGGCTGGTTTTGGTGGGATAAGTTTCAGAGGTATGATGTGAGCATCATTATTACCCTCTCATTTTTGGTACAATCTTTATTACTACTTTTTCATGGTTCTGCGGTTTGAAGGCTTCTTGTTAAGATTCCTTTTATTTATTTATTTATTTATTTTACCATTAACTCCCATTTCATGAACTTGTATTCGAATCCAATGATTTGTTCTTTTGTTCTTTAAGTTATAATGCTTAAATTTAGTTAATTGAAAGTTTGACTCTTATTAATTACTTAAAAAAATTCATCATTTTTTCATAATTTTCATGTTCAAAAAACCCCCAATTCATATACTATATAAAATATTATGGTATACATTGATTGAGTTATATATTTAATAAATATAATAAAAAAAATCAAAGTGTATGGGATGGAAAAAAATAAAAATAAATGATAAATGAAAGTGAAATGAAGAAAAAACGTTAATTTATTAATTTAATAAAAGAAATTGAAAATGATATTAATAAATGAGAAATGAAAGTGTTGCGTGAAGTTTACTAACACAACCAAAAAAATAAAATAAAATAAAGAGTCAAAGTGCAGAAGAAAAATACAGGCTCTCTAACAGTTGTGTTATTAGGTTAAAAAAGGTAATTAATGTATTTTTTATTATTAAATTTTATAAAAATTAACATTTGATTTAATTTTAAGAATAACAAATTAAATGAATCACATGACATTAATGTCAAAATTAATATCAACTTTTTTGTTTTTTAATATGAATTAATGATTAAAAAAATATTAATTATACTTTTAGAGTACAAGTTGAAAAAATTTAGCTTGAAAGGTTTAAAGTTTAAATATTCAAAAACTCCTAAATGAAAATTAAGAAGCGAAAATGTAACATTAATTTATTAATTTTTTTAAAAAAATTGAAGAGTCAAGTATTGTTAATTTAAACACACTCGTCTCCTTCCTATGTATATTCTTCTAATGATTTCTTTTGCAATTATTAATAGTCATGGTGCGTGAATTTAAGATTTTTTTTTTAATTTTTGACAATAAAATCTAAAATATTTTATTTGAAAGATTTTTTTTTTTAATTCAAAATTTAGTGGTTGCATGTGCAATGCATAATCATTGACTCCTATTTGACTGTGTTGCACATTCAATATACAGGTGTTGTATCTTATTTTATTATATTTCTTTAATTGAAAAAAAAAAAAATATTGTTTAAATCCTTTTATAAGATGATACTAAAACAAAAGGATAAATAAATACATTTGAATTATGAGATAAAAATAAATATCAAGTATTTTTTGAATTCTTTTAATATTTCTTCTTTTTAACGTGACTATATCTAACATTTTGAAAAAATATTCTTATTGATTACCAAAAACAATCTCGTATTTAGCAAATGCCATCACTTAATTAGAATATAAAAAGTAATTATAAAATTCAAGAATTGATAAAAAAATAGTAAAGAATTCAAACTCTAATATGAAAAATTAAAGAATAATAATCCATGCAACTCATGGTCACGTTAGATACTAAAAAGAGAAGAAAGATTTATTACTTTATTATCTTCATTGTATATATAAATGATCTATAAATAAATTTATACAATAAAATATTTTTAATTACAAAACCAATTAATCTAAATATATACAATTAATTAATTACAATATAAACATATTAATACATTATAAATACTAATATTTTAATATAGATACTAATATTCTAACAATATAAACATACTAATGTAGTATGAATATTAATATTTTTCTAACAAGCACAAAAAACAAAAACTAATTCGAATATATTATTAGTCAATTTTATTTTTTTTTATCTAAATTAATTACGATTTAAAATTTTTTAAATCCCATTTGAAGGTATAGTTAAAACTCACATCCAATAATCCACTTTATTAATAATATCTTTTGTGTTTATTTTAAACTCTTAAAACACAAGGCTGATTCACTTTGTCTAATATGATGTTTCTTAACTAACACCAAACAGGGAAAAAAAAAATCCATCCCTTGCAAAAAGTGGAATAGCCTGTTCATCATGAAAAATATATAGAAATCCATTTCTTCATTTGGGTTTTCCTTGACAAACATAAATTGAAATTTTCTAAGTTATTGTAGAAGTACATTAGTGGGCATCAATGTCATCGCCTGATTCTCCTCCTCTTGGCTACTCTCATTTCTCTTGTTGGATTTCTAAATTTGGTTATTCTAAGGCGTTGAGAATTTCTCAATCTTCTTGAACCGCTTTTTAGATGCATTGACACTTCCCTGGTTTTCAACTTTACATGATGCTTATGGTGGCTACTACTTCTCCACTGATGCCTTTTCCTTGCTCTGTTTCTCTTTCTGCTCACACTAAGATGATAATTATCTGAACAATCACTTTCATTGCTGGAACTGTAGTAGCCTACCTCAATATCCCTGAACGGCCGCCTCCTCCGCCGGCGGTTTACCCGCTTAGTGTTCTTTAACTTGTACCACAAGAAACACGTAATATCTTTTAGAGTAAACCAGTATGTCTCACATCCAGCCCAGCACACCTTAAAGAGGCCTTTTACTATACATTGGCAGATGCCCAATTTGAATAATAGGTAGAAGAACATCAAAACTGAAAAGAAATCAAATCATGCACTTGTCTCAAATCGGTGAAATGCATTTAAGAAGGAAAAAGAGAGAAGAGATGAAAATCTACCAACTAGGTTCTTCTTTTGTGTTTCAAAATCAAGAAGAATAATTGGTAAAAATTACTTAGGAAGCAAAGACCCAAAATCAAGAACAGCTTCACCAGGTTGGCGACGCACAAATGCTCAATGAAACAGATTACATCCCATGGTCCCGAACAGACGTCTCTGCAAATTCAAGTTGTTCAATATCATAACACTACAGAACACAAACATCCAAAAAAAGATGGAAAAAGGGGGAGAAAAGCAAATGAAGGATAATTAATTGAAAGATACATACTGGCATGATGCACCGAAGATGGTCTTAAATGGGGCAGTGAACAGATTTCCAAGAGCATTTCCTATACCATTTGCAGCATTACTGATGACTCCCCCCATTATATTTCTTCATGCAGCCACAATCATGTCCTATATATGTTCAGTCAAAAAACCCCTTTCTTAATTATTGAAACTTATACTCACAGGAAAGATTGAAAGGAGAAATCAACTTATATGTAACCCAGATTATAATTTTCTACAGATTTTAAGTGATTCTTAATGCAAAATTCTTCAATTTTGTCCACGGTAAAAATGGGACTCTCCCTATTCAAGCCATAGATAGCAACATTAAAGGCAGATGAGATAATAAAACGAAAAAACTGTTAAACATAAATGAAAAAGGGGGAATATGTATTCAGAAAGCGAGCTCTTACGATGGTATTGCTATGGATCTCTATGGGGGGGCGGGGGGGAAGAGGGGACAGTTTTCGCTTACAGGGGCAGTGAATTTATGGAAGTTTTCCTGGTACTCGTAGATTTGCACATAAACAAAGAGGGAAACTTTCACAATAAGTCCCTCTGCTTGTTTTGATTATTCAATATAGCCACCAATCTTCTATGTTGTTCAATTAAATACCCAAGCGGTGGCACCTTTGTTAAACTTGCGGTTTGTTATCACATCAAAATTTTGGAAACAAAAAGAGGGGAAAAAAATAAAAAATTCAGACCATATATATATATATATATATTTTAAGTATGTTAGATTTGAGAAAAATAGAAAGGAGGGAAGGAGAATAGAAAGATGTCCGTTTCTCTCCCTTCTCTCTCTATATATATATTTTTGGTAATCAATGTTCTCTCAAACAAAATATATCCTTAGTGAATACCACCCTTAGTGAATACTATGCTATCTTGGAGCAGTTCGCACACATTAGATGAAATCCACCTCTTTATCCAATTAAAAGTTAGTAATTTACTTAAGAATAATTAACCTCTCTATATAATTAAAGGTTAATCATCCACTTTAAAATTAAAGAATATATGCAAAACTACTTTAAATTACTTCTCTTTAAGACAATCTACTCAGTTAAATATTAGAATCTAAACCAAAAAAGCACTAATTTTAGTTGACTAAATACCTGAAAATTGAAAATTGGCCAGCAGCACAGGCAAAAGGCCCCCATTTGCCCTTCAACTTTTCGACTTTGAGGTATTTTACCCCTCATATTACAATATATGAGTTTTTACTTTCCATGTTTCCCAGTTTAAAGAAATGAGGCAAAATTTAATGTTGGAGGGTAACGTATAGCACGTGCATCATTAGCCTTTGTCATACATTCACACATTAGCACCAACTTATATTTTTTTGACAAGTTGGCAAGGCTAGCTTGGACCCTTTGTGAGCTGGAATTCTATCATCAACAATTTAGGTTTTTTTTTTTTTTTGGTTCCTCCCTTTCCTTTTCCCTTTCTTCAACTTTTACAAACCCTAACATTTCAACCAATCTCTACCCTTGTTGGGTCTTTCATCATCATCATCAAACAACAAAATTCAAAAAAAAAAAAAAAATTTTAAAAATTTTTTGCGCTTGGGTTCCATAGAACTCACACTTGGGTTCAAAGGAACCTAGTGCTTGAGTTTCAAAAAACCTAGGTGTGGATTCCATTGAACCCCAACCCTTGGGTTCCTTGGAACCCGAGCACTTGGGTTTGAAAGAATCCACTTTTGAGTTCCAAGGAACCCAGCGCTAGGGTTCCAAAGAATCCAAGCGTGGGTTCCATCGAACCTAGCAATCAAGTTCCATCGAACCCAGCAATCAAGTTCCATCGAATTTCAAACCCAAGCGTGCTGAGTTCCATCGAACCCAACACTTGAATTCCAAGGGAAGAGAGAAAGAGAAAGATAAAAAAAAAAAGAAAGAATTTTTTTTATCATATTATTATTATTTTTTCCATGTTATTATTGTAAGTCAACAAATAGGATCCACAAGTTAAAATTGTTGGCGGTATGGCATTGACGTGTGAATGTATGATGGAGGTTAATGATGCATGTGCTACATGTGACCCTTTGGTGTTAAATTTTACCTCATTTCCCTAAACTTGAAAACATGGAGGGTAAAAACTCATATTGAATTGTGAGGGGTGAAATGCTTCGAACTCAAAAAGTTGAAGGGCAAATGGGGAGCTTTTGCTAGTGGCACAAGGCCAAATTTCCCGTGATATTTCATACCGAACTGACCCGTTCTTCCATTTACTCTGATATTTATGCTACTGACTCCTTCCCAATGCTCAGTGAGAAAATCGCTAGAAGTGTGAGAATCACAGTTCCCTTAAGCACCCTCCCTGCTTTAAAGCTGTTATCTGTTAGTTACGAACAGGAAATTTATATCACAAGCACTTTGATATTCAATTCATTGATGAGAAGAGGAAGGTGGGACAAGCATCCTTTCAACACCCATAAACTGGGCTGCAAAACCCTCGTCGTTCTTAGCCAACATTTCTTTCAAGCTACATTCAATATTTCTTCCCTTTAGTACCCAGAATCTGGGTTTTATTCTCTTCTCCAGAGAATAACTGAAGTATCTTGGGTACTCAACAAGATCCCTAACTGGCTTTTCCATGGTGTAGACAAGGAACTCATACTTGGGTCTTAGCACCCCCTCAATACTGTACCCTAGTAATGGAGAAAACCTACGGACCATGAAAACTACATCTCTCTTTGAAATCCCAATCTCCATCAAGTACCTGATTCTGTCCACCAAACCATCAGAATAAGTTGCAACAAAGTGATAATATCATGTATGTTGGGGACATTAATTACTCGAGCATGCAACAACACCATGAAATAGAACATTACCGAGGAAGCATGGCTCTATCCACATCAGACACAAGAAGCTCTGGATATTTTTTGATGACTCGGGAAAGATGATCTTTTGAAATACCAAACTCAGTGAGGAATTCAACCTTGCTCTTCAGAGTTTTTTCAATGTTGGTAGCAAAAAGTTCAGGACAACGGCAAAGTATCTTCCCAACAGTTACCCTGTCAAAACCTAGATCTTCCAAAAATAAAATTACCTACATGAAGACAAGAGAATATTGGTTAAACAAAGAAACAGGAAGGCTATGTCAAACATGTGACAAGAATTACAAAACCAAAAAGGCTCCTAAAAAATGTGATCTATATGGTTGACTAAAACTGTGCAGCAGAACCCTAACTAAATGAAGAATTTCCTTTTTAAGTAAGTTACAACAATAAAACTGAATTCAATACAACACCCAAAAAAATAAAACATCTACGGTTTTCTTGTGCTTGGACCCAGTAAGGTTGCCTCACCTGAGGTTCCCTCAGGTAATGGTCCATGTGGAATAAAATAAAGATTAATTATTTAAGATAGAAATATATGACATTCAAATGGATAAAATCATTCACAAAGGAGATGGAAATCAGAAACATACATGCAAGCAATGGTGTCCAATCATATGCATATAAATTGCTTAAACAACTAATAATTAATTGAGAAAGGAGACAGATTGTCTGAGCTAACTTTTAAGTGTAAACCACAACTGTTTACCCGTAGCAATTCTTGAGGTTCTCGTAGTAGTAATTGGGGACTCTTAGCAATAACCCGACCCAACTTCTTGTCTTTAACACCTAACTCATAAAACAGATCCACCCCCAACTTAAGTTTGCATGTTGAGCAGCCTAATAAATGAGGCCAGCTTTGAATTGCTTGATCAACACTCATTTTTGGCACCTGATATACAACATAATAACTCATGAAAGTCAACAAGAAAAGATAACCAAAAGTAAGGGTGTGGGAAACAAAATAAAATAAGGTTCTATATTCACCTCATAAACTATAAGGGCAAGCTATATGTATAAATGTTATATGCAGTAGTAATTCAATGTTATAAGTGAATACAACTATCTAACAAGCCCATGGACAAATGTAAATTCTTGAAGGTACAATGCCCATTCTAACTGCCTAAGCCAAACTTCAGAACTCAATTCAAATTTTATACAACATGTTCACAAAGGGAAAATCACAAGATACCCTAGCAGATAACCAAGCTAGATAGGACACAAGGATCTAATGGATACTGTACCTTTTCTGCACTGAAAAGAGAAAGAATTTGCTCATAGTTTTCTTGAATGCTTGTTGAAAGAATCCATGGATATTTTAGCAACATTTTACCAACATTGTCATGCACTGCACCAACCTAGAATGAAATTCACAGAAACATATCATATGGCAGACAATATACCAGGAAACATCAAGAATAGTAATTGGCATAAATAAAATAAAGAATTTAAATACCTTTTGTACCTTATTTAAAGCCAAAGCTTTTCTTTTAATTTCCTGAATTTCACAAAACAAGATGGGTGGAAATAATAGAAGTATGTTTCCCAACAATCTCCTGGAAATTCTGACTGTTTCAAGAAAATTAACCATTGGTTTCAAATGGGATTCCACTGGCAGCAACAAAAGGCGTGGGAAAGACTCAACTAGACACCTGAAAGTTGCATCTACTGAGCCCAACATGCCTAAACCTCCGCGCCTAGCTTCAATCTACATCAACAATGTATAAACTGTATTATAGCATGAAGGAAATGATCTAACATAACACCAACAAAAAAGTAAAGAAGAAAAAATTGCATCACACCTTTTCAAAGAAGGATAAGGTTTGCTGCACATCTTCGTCAATAGGGATTGACAAATTTGTCATCATGCTCCGAGCCTTTCTCTCGATTAGTTCTTTATTATCACAGCCAGAAAAGATTATTTCCTTCATATAGTTAACCTAAAGCCAAACACAAAATAAGTAATGGCTTGAGAGTTATGCCAAAAAGACAAAATTCAGCCAATTTATGCAAAAGAAAAGCACAAGTCATTTTCCTTTTCCTTAATTATACTAGAGAAATTGCCACATTGTTTTCATAATAATTCATCAAGATTGTCACTAGAATTGTACCAGAAAAAGAATACATCGGGGATTAAAGGTTGTTTTACAGACCCAAAATGCAGCCATTAAGGATATATAATTCACAATAGCTTACGAACCGACATGAAAATGATGATAGCATCCTCCTCATAATGTAGGTTCTATAAGTTATAAACAAGATGAAATAAGTGATGACACAAAAACAACTTTGAGACTGATTATTCTAACGTTAGGTATAATTGAAAAACATTTTCTCCATTATATGTCCATATTGCTTAATGCTTACTTTCAACAATTCTCAAAGTCTGCAATCACAACCAATTCCCTATATTAAAACTAAACCAATTTCCAGAAAAAAAAGAACAAAGAAAAAATAAAATTATTTTCCCTCCAATGTCTGGATTCTTAGTAACCAAGAAATCATTGAAGAAACTAAAGAGAGTTTAAGATACCCACCAGAGGACGAAAATGTTCAATAGGATTTAAGCAAATAAGATAGGTGAAAAAGATAAAAATAAAAAACAGAATTCCACTAATCTTTTAATCTAGAATATATATAAACCTAAACATTAATTCGGCTTTACAAAGTTACTGGAGACCATGGACAATCATACGTAAATGCAAAACATATCCACAGAGAAATATTCTATCTAACCTTGTGATTAAGAGCGGGGAGTGGTTCCGAGGACAAGTAACGTGCAACACCAATGGCAGAGGATAGACTCAAACCCAGACTCTCCAAGAAGGCAACTTTGCCATTATCACCCTTCTCCTTGGCCATAGAGATCACCATCTTCTTAAACCCCAATTTCTTTCCTTCACATTCGCCAGAATTATTCAAAGAATTCCATTCTTCCAAATCCCTAATGCTGTCTACCAGCATCTTGACATACCTCGGGCAATTGGAGGCAACTGAGAGGGATTCCTCCAAGGAAAGTCCCTGTTCTTGGAGGAAGTCGGAGATGGATTCCTGGGCCTGGCTTAAATCGTGGGGCGTTTGGTTACTGGGACAGGATTGAGGCAGTTGGAGATGAGAAACGTAAGCTTTTGGGGAGTGGATTCTGGAATAGAGATCGAACGGGAAACGGAGGGAATTCAGAAGAGGTTTAGGAGAGGTTTGGAGGAAATGGGAGTTTGTGGGTGGTAATTTCAAGCTCGAGGGAATTGGAAGGAATTTGATGGCCATCCCTGGAATCACATGCCGGAGTGTGAATGTCTGACACTAAACCCCTGCAAAACCCTAGAACCCAGAAAGATGATGATGAATGATGATATCTTTCTCTTACTGGACCGGATTGCACATTTTGTAATTTTGCAGGAGAAACCGCCAAATAACTTCTTCTCTTTCGTTTTTAGCAAATAAGCCCTTTTTGTTTTCCATTTTTTTCAAATTGACCCTCCAACTTGAAAGCATCTTTTAATTTAGAATTTCAATTTACTCTTTTTTAAAATTCTAACAAAGTTTTAGGTGTCTGCAAATTGAACCATCAAAATTGAAAGCATATCACACGCACCACTTATCATGATTTCTTCCCAAGAGGCCTCTGTGATTTTAGTTTTTCATAAACATTTATGAGAATATCAATCATATTATTTTAAAAAAGAATTTAACCATTACATTATGAGACCAAAAATTTTTAACAGTTACAATATGAGACAAAAACAAAAAATTAAAAATTTAACATGTGATAACGTTAACCATAATCAGTGTCAAAGTGAAGGGTGCATCCTTAATGAGCATCACCACTTCCACGTTCACTAAAGGCACGTGTTGTTGAACTTCATTAAAGTACAAGCTCAACTCCACTTTCTTGCAATTGTCAACGCTAATTTTCAATTTGAACTTTTATGGGACCTTTTCAAACTAAAAATACATTTTCTGTATAAAATTATCAACATGTATGGTAGGGTTTCTTGAAGTTTTTACTTTATAATATTGTTTATGAATTATAAATTTAAAATTTTATTAAAAAAAATTTAAAAATTATTTTTAAAAATAATAAAAA